CGCGTAAATAAAGCATAAATTGAGAAGTTAAAAAATCAAAAGCCAAAAACATGCATTTCTCATGAAGTGAAAATAGTGGAGGGAAAATAAAAAAATTCTCACAATTGGGATCTAATCCGCACAGTCATTTACACCACCCTCACAATCACCCCAACATCGACCACTACACAATTCAGTCATCGACGACGTTACTTTCCACAAGGTTAGTTTTTTTGTGATTATTAAATTGATTTTCATATATAATAAAGATTAAATTTAACTTTTATTTAGTTTATTGTTCATTATTTAGGTAGATGCTTGAGCGTAGACAAAATTAAGAGATTTTTTGGGGGCGGAGATCACCATTTATCTTTGAAAATGACGATTTTTTGGCGAAAAAGAAAGAGGGCGAATGTTAACAATCACTGAACTTGATTGTTCATCAGCCGATTGTTTATCCATCAGTCAGATGGGCCGACTGCTTAACAGTTGGCCAAATCCCAATTTTTTTGGGCTGATTTTTATTTTTCTTCATTTTTAACTGTTTATTAATTTCTTTTTCTTTATGACAATTTAACTTTTTTCAATTTTTTAATAACATTGATATTCTTTATTTAATTTTTATAATTTCTTTTTGTTTAATTTTATTATTATTATTTTGGATAATAGTTTTAAAATTTCTTAATTCTATTCTTCATATTATAAATATTTTTTAATTTAAAATTATTTTTAATTCTTTTTCTTTTTGTGATAAAATTCATTTTTTTTCAATTTAAATTAAATAATATTTATTCTTTATTTGATTTTTATTATTATGTTTTCAGTAATAATTTTAAAATTTATTAATTGTTTTCAATTTAAAATTCTTTTTAATATTCTTGCTTTTATTTTTATATTTTTATAATTTTCTTTAATTTTTTTCCTTTTTTATTTTGGTCCATAATTTTTATTTAATTTAATATATTTCTTCTTCTTCTTTCAAATTTTTGAATTGTTTTTTATTCGTCAAAATTTAAATTTTTTCAATTTAAAATACTTTTTAATATTCGATCTTTAATTTTTATTATTTTTCTTATTTATTTCTTTAATTTTCACTATTTATTTATTTAATTCATTTTTTTATTTTTGTTTATAATTCTTTTTTCCTTTAATTTAGTAAGTCATTTATTTTTTTATCAAATCATTTATTTCAATTTAAAATAGCTCCTCACACATTCAACAGAAGAATTCGGGGATAACTTCT